TTAAGCGTTGGAACTCGAACTCTCTTTTTGGTTGGAGAGAGCTGTGGCGTTTCCCTACTGCCCCGTCGCCATCTTGGTCCCCCCCACCCAATACTAACTTTTTATAAATACTTTGTATTTTCAAGATGTCTGCTCATGTACTTGATTTAACTGTTGATTTATTTTGCTGCCACCTCAATTAAGTTTTACAATATATTTCGGTTAGTGATAGGCAGATCATTCTGAATTTGCTTTCTCAGAATTTTCTTAGTTGTTATGTGCTTACTTTTGCAAGTATATACATGTTTTAAACTGTCTTGCTAAAGTTTTAAGTAATATTTATATTTTCTGCTTTCAAAAGAACAACACTTTCCTCTATCAGATAGGCCTTACTAGTAGTCTTGGGGCTGCTGTGTGGCTTCAGTAGTGACGTGACTCGTGAAATGTTATTTGTGGGACATCAACTCAGAGCCTGTTCTGAGTCTACAGAAAGTTCTGAGATGTATTTGGGCTCACCTGATTAACAGTTCATGCCCAGAGTTCCCATGATCTGTTTTGAAGCAAGAAAAAAAAATTAACTGAGTTCTCACCAATTCACAGCTAAAGCACCTTGGAGGGGGTGAAGCGCAGCATTGGCTTCCACCCCTGCAGGGCCGATTCTGCAGAGCCAGCAGGGGCCTGGGTTCGGATACATGTGTACTCCCATGCCACAGTGGGCTGGAATCTGTAAGAGGATACAGGGGAAGAAACACGGTGTGTCCTCAACACATCTCCAGTCAAAGGCCCTTCCAGACACCTGCACATGGCTTCCCACTCCACAGAGGGCATATCCAGCCATAGTGATGCGTCCAGCAACAGTGTGGGCCGCCCCAGCTGGGGAAGTCAGCATGGCAGCAGTGTCTTCTAACTGCCCACATGCATAGACGCTCCCCCTCCCCAGGACCCCTGTGTGCAGCAGAGCGGTGCAGAAGAAAGCCTTGTCATAGTCCAGAACAAGAAGACCCTTGCGCAGCCTGTTGCCTTTTTTGCCTCTCAGTGCAGTGTGATTCTCTTCCCACAGCCTGGCTGCATCTTGTCACTTTTGTCTTAACCCAGCCCATCTCAAGGAGCCTGTAAATCTGAGGAAAAATGAGGTGAGCCTGCCTCTCCCTCCCTCTAGGCCCTGCCCTAGGGAACTTGAACTCCCATCACCAGCCCCATTTCCAGCAGAAATTCCTTCAGATGGCAGTTCAGTTTCTTCTGACATTCCTCTTTAGTTCCTTAAAAGTGACGGTGCTGACCCCCTTAGCTGTGCACCAGTGCTGTTGTTGGCGAGCCTACCATAAGCTCCCAGGCTAAGGTCTCCTTGTGCTTGTCTTCCAGGCTTGGCATTCAATGAAGCTGTATCTGGTTTCCATTGTTGCTTTTGAGATGGACTGTTGTGGGCATTTCTGCTTTGTATATCATCACAGGACTGGCTGTTACTTTCCATGGCACTGGGCACAAAGGAGACTTCCAGTATGCACTGAAGCCTTCCTGGGACTTAAAAATAACATGGTGCAGAGTCAGTTCCTAATATGTTAGATGTGGGCAAATTTTTCTGCTCTAGTACAGCAAATAGTGAAGGTCACTAACAGTATGCCTCAAAAGCCCTGATCCTAAACACAATTCCTTCCTTCAAAACATACAGTAAAGATGAGAATGGAAAGGCTTTTTTCCTGGGAAAGCAGATTTCAAGTTTCTTTTTCAGACATGCATAGGGCCTACTTTGAGGAGAGGGCTGTCTGCTAATGCTTAAAAATCCTGCAAGCAGTGAGCAATGGGGGAAGCAAAATATCAAGAGAGGAATTCTTTCTTTCTTACTGATCTACCAACCTTTACTTCAAATTCCTAGAATAGAATCCTTGAAGTTGAAGTAGCTTTGATATCAACTGCACTGCTGTAAATTTTTGTCAAACATTATAGCTCTGAGGTGCCAGTGGCTCAGGTCTGTAATCATAGCTACTCAGGAGGCTGAGATCTGAGGCTCACAGTTTGAAGCCAACCCCAGGCAGGAAAGTTTGTGACACTCTTATCTCCAATTAACCACTAAAAAGCCAGAAGTGGAGCTGTGGTTCAAGTGGTAGAGTGCTAGCTCTGAGCAAAGGAACTAAAGGACAGCATGTAGGCCCTAAGTTCGAGCCCTAGGAATGGTACATGCGTGTACTCTCTTTCTCTCTCTCTCTCTCTCTCTCTCTCTCTCTCTCTCTCTCTTCCCTCTGTCTCACACACACACACACAAATTCTAGCTTCAGTCTTTTCTTTTTGTTGGTCGTGGGGCTTGAACTCAGAACCTGGGCACTGTCCTGAGCTCTTTTGCTCTAGGCTACTGCTAAAGGCTACCACTTTTGAGTCACACTGCCACTTCCAATTTTCTGGTGGTTAATTGGAGATGAGCATCTCACAGACTTTCTTTCCCAGTCTGGCTTTGAACGGTGAGCCTCAAATCTCTATCTCCTAAGTAGAGCCAGCAGAGGTTGGCTTCTATTATTTTCAATGGGTACTTGACACAGCTTCTATGCCTGTTTCCTTTATATTTTATTACCTTAGATTGAGGGAGTACAACAATGAGCTTACATTATCAAATAGTTGGTGGATGCCAAATGCTTTTAAGCATAATACATGTTAGCTCACAATTCCCATTTTAGGTGTGTGCTATCATTCCCACTGTACATGTATGAATGAACTTAATTCATTATGTCAAGATTGCACAGCCAGTAAGGAACAGAGTCAGAATCTAACTCTTATCTGGCCTGAGTTCACCATCAATCATACCATGCTATACCATCACACATTTATTTTCTAGTTTTGTCCTGTACGTTATAAAATACATATTGTATTTTTGTTGTAATCCAAATAATAATGCTTGGAAGTGGGACTGTGGCTCAAGTGGTAGTGTACCAACCTTGAGCAAACAAAAACACCATATGTAGGCACTATTCTAGCTCCAATACCAGCACCGTATAGAAGAAGAAAAGAAGGAGGAAGGGTGGGGGAAAGTAAGAGAAGGAGGAGTAGGAAGAGGAGAAAGTACTACCAAATAACACTTCGTTATAAACCACAGTAATAAAATAGCTCTTGGTCTTCATGAATATTATGTTGAAGTCTTAATTTTAGTTAATTCCCTCCAATAATTTTACTCATTAAATTATTGATCTGGGGGCTGGGAAGGTGGCTCAGTGATGGAGTGCTTGCCTTGCATGCATGAGGCCCTGGGTTCAATTTCTCAGCACCACGTAAGCAGAAAAAAGCCAGACGTGGTGTTATGACTCAAGTGGTAGAGCGCTAGCCTTGAGCTGAAGAGCTGAGGGACAGCGCCTAGGCCCAGAGTTCAGGCCCCATGACCAGCAAAAAATAATAATTATTATTGATCTGTCTTTTCATGGGAAAAGGGTCAAGTGGATTGGATTGATTTCTTCTGGGACTGCAGAATAAATTTCTCATCAAGAAATGCATTTACTTTAAAAAAAAAAACTTTTTCTATAGTAATTAGATTTTCCTCTCTGTATTCCACCTTCCTGGAAAGGCTTTCTGTCTTTGAGATAGTAGCAATAATGAAGCAGGTGCTTTCACCCTGTGAAAAACCTAGCTTTTTTGCCAGTCCTGGGGCTTAAACTCAGGGCCTGGGCACTCTCCTTGAGCTAAGCTAGTACTCTGACATTTGAGCCACAGCTCCACTTTTATCTTTCTTAGAAGTTAATTGGAGATAAAAGTCTCAGGGATTTTCCTTTCTAGACTGGCTTTGAATGGTGATCCTCAGATATTAGCCCTCTAAGTATAGGCATGAAACACCAGCGCATGGCTTCTGGGTGCCCATTTTCAGAAATCAAAAACTGATCCCTATCCAGTTGATTCAGATTTGCTCTAGGTAGGTCAGCCTCCCTTATGAGCCGTCTGGGCTAAAGGCACAGGGAAAGAGCAGTAACATGGAGGAGGCTTCAGCATTTTCAATTTGAGTGCTGAATTTGCTTACCTGAATTTGTAATGAGTTGTTTATGTAGTAAAGTCTCTAACTGAAGGGGATAGACTATTAATGGGCAGTCTACTATAGCCTAAAGTTCCCCTTTTGTTTTTGTTTTCCTTAGTGGAATATATTGAACTGGGGACTGGAAGCATGTCTCCAGTGGTAGAGCTCCACCCATGAGAGAAAAAGCTGAGTGATTGTGCAAGGACCTGAGTTCAAGCCCTAGTACCAACACAAAAGAAGAAAAATATTTGGGGGGCTGGGAAGGTGGCTCAGTGGTAGAGCGCTTGCCTTGAATGCATGAGGCCCTGGGTTCGATTCCTCAGCACCACAAAAGCAAAAAAAGAAAAAAAGCCAGAAGTGGCCATGTGGCTCAAGTGGTAGAGCACTAGCCTTTAGCTGAAGAGCTGAGGGACAGCGCCCAGGCCCAGAGTTCAGGCCCCACGACCGGACCCCCCCAAAAAAAAAAGAAAGAAAAGAAAAATATTTGGGATTGTAGCTTTCCATTAAGATGGGCTTATATTGAGAAATGATCCAATACTTCTCATTCTTGCTTATTTGAGTTTTAGAAATTTGACTGGATGATATTTCATTTTTTAATACTTTTTCAACTATATTGAGGCTAATTATTGATTCATCTTAAATATCTTTTCTGACATTAAGTCCAATAATAACATGTTTCACCATAGATGGTTTCACTAAAAATGTTATTACTATAACTTCACTTTCTGGTTGTGTTAACATCAAGTTTTATCTGCCTACAGGAGAATATTAAAAAGTGAGCCACCGTATCCCCAAGAAATGAGTGCTCTAGCTAAAGACCTCATTCAGCATCTTCTGATGAAAGATCCCAAGAAAAGGCTGGGATGTGGCCCAAGGGATGCAGATGAAATCAAAGAACACCTCTTTTTTCAGGTAAAGTTTAGTGAATTTAAAATTTAGAGTTTCATACTTCTGCTGTGTTTTGCAAGTTCAACATTCTTGGAGTTCACTTTCCACCTACTTTCACCTACATTGTACTTTTCTTTTAAAATGGAAAAGACTTTCTAGGAAGGACCAGAGTTTATTTGTAAAAACCTTGGGGCTGGGAAGGTGGCTTAGTGCTAGCAGGTTGCCTTGCGTGCATGAGGCCCAGGGTTCAATTCCTCAGCGCCACATAAGAAGGGAAAGCCAGAAGTGGTGCTGTGGATCAAGTAGTAGAGTGCTAGCCTTGAGCTGAAATGCTGAGGGACAGTGCCCAGGCCCAGAGTTCAAGCCCTGAGACTGACCAAAAAACAACAACAACAAAAAACAAAACAAAAAAAACCTTAAATGGTCTTTTCCTCTGTAAATGCATGGTCAGTGGAGAAACAGAATAGCATTCCATTTTTCCATCCTACAGTAGTTTGTAGCATCTGTAACATATATTCTCATTGTGTCTGATTGTGCTTTTCCAAAATGCAAATGAGACCATTCCATGGCATAGCAATTGATCTGTTCAATTTAGTTTTCTCAGTTTATTCCAAGTAAACACCAAAATACTGAATTACTGACTGATAGCATAAAAGAGGCATCCAAGTTATATTTTATTTTTATTCTGTAATCTTTTGTATAATCACTAAAACAAATGAAAAAGACCAAGCTAAAACAAAGATGGGTTTTCATGTTATTTATTGTTTTTAAAATAAAGAAAAATGAGGCCGGAGTGTATTTCAGTGGTAAATTACTTGCTTAGCCTGTATCAGACCTTGAACTTGTTCCCCAGCATAACAGATATATGTGTGTGGGGGGGGTGTTTGTGTGTGCACATGGTAGAAAAAAAGTATAAAAACTTGAAAATCAAACCATCTCAGCATTTCTATAGTCAAAAATGAGCAAGCAGTCGTCTCTAAATGTAATCACTAAAAATTATTGCTGTACAACTTCCAGAGTGCAGTAACCATGAGAAGTACATTGGATATAAGTTGAACTCAATATGGCATTTCATAAATACATATGGCTTAAGAAGAATGCGATTTAAACAAACTTTCAAATGTCTTGTCAGTTTGGCTTAAAAGTTGACAATCAGATAAAATTTAATCATTTTCCTAAGATACTGTTCTCCATTGTTTTCTGTTTTTATCATTTTGGGGATATTCCTTTCATATTAGAAGAATTTTTATTCTTAATGGCTTAGATAGTAATTTTAATCTGCTTAATTACTTTGACTTTTTATAATTAGAAAGGATTTTTTAAATAACAGACTCTTGGAAAGCTGGAAATCCTTCTTGTAAAGATCTTAATAGTCCTTTCTTTATAAATGGTACATGGATGGAAGATCAAAATAGCATTCATTTTTCTATTTATTCATTATTTTCCTGCCAACAACATATTTCTTTAAATCCCTTTACTTTAGAAAGTTTCTCTTACTGTCATTATAGTTGTCTAGTACAAATCATGCTTCTCAATGGGAGTCGTTATAGCCGCATACAGGAAAAGAGCTAAACTGATTTAATAATTTTATTTCCATTACCTTCAAGGAACATAATAAGAACAGATTGTGATGGTTGATTAAACTTGATCAATTTCTTCCACCAAGAAGGACAAGTTTTTACATGTTCCATCATTGAAATTAACCTACATATCATCTTATTCTGTGAATAATGCTTTTTTTCTTAATAATACATAAAATAATGGTATATTTTACTATCAATCTGAAGACATAATAATTGGAAATCTGTAGATTTCAGTTCAGCAGGTATTATCTGAGGTTGTTTGAAGTGACAGAAGGAACATTAAGAGGAGAGAGTTGAATTTGAATAATATAAAATGTGTCATTTAGCTGACAGTTCTGATTTGGGTGGAAAGGTAGCATAGATTTCTTTGGGGAATAAGAAACAGCATCTCAAATGCTTGACTACAGTTAGAAGAGAAAAGAGCAACTACATCACCATGTTAATTAAACTTTAGACATAACTAATGCTTGATTCACAGTGAGGTGTTTTTTTTTTTAATGCTGGGTCTGGGCCTTGAACTCAGGGCCAAGGCACTGTCCTTTAGCTTGTTTGCTCAAGGCTGGCACTATGCAACTTGAGCAACAACACTTCCAGCTTTGTGTGTGTGCGTGCACATGCGCACACACGTGCATGTGCACCAGTCCTGGAACTTGAACACCAGGCCTGAGTACTCTCCCTGAGCTTATATGCTCAAGGCTAGCACTCTACCACTTGAACCACAGTTCTACATCCAGCTTTTTGATGTTTAGTTGTTGTAAGAGTCTTACAGACTTTCCTGTGCAGGCTGGCTTTGAACCTTGATCCTCAGATCTCAGCTTTCTGAGTAGCTAGGATTACAGCCATGAGCCAAGTGGGTACCCAGTTACTTCTAGCATTTTGCTGGCTAGGATTTTTGCTGCTCAGATTTGTCTGCCTGGGCTGGCTGTGAACAAAGATCCCTTAGGTATCAGCCTATTGAGTAGCTAGGATTACAGGCATGACCACCTGTAACTGGCAAGTGAGCTTATTTTTCATTCTGTGCAGGTGATCTAGAGGAAAAGCAAGTGTAGCAGAAGAATTGAATGAAATGGCCTCTAAAAAATCTGCCCACCACTAGTACTGAGTTTCTAGATTTAAGGAAAATTTTTTACATCAGTGAGAAAGGATTCCTGTTACATTGGCATCTAGTGTACAAAATATTGTCTACTGTATTGAATATATTTTTTTTACTATATGGAAAGTAGCCAGTAAAACATTTGTCAGAGAAGGAAAAAATAAAAAGACAAGAATGTTTCCTTGAAATTAATGTTCATATTCATAAAACATTTTAAAGCCCTTTATTGTGGTTTGGTTTGAATTTTTTTATTTTATTGTATTTTTTGTCAATTACAGGGATTGAACCTAGGCCCTGTGTGTTGTTCTGAGTGCCTTTGAACAAGGCTAGTGCTTTACCACTTTGAGCCACAGCTCCACTTCTTGTTTTTGAGTGGCTAATTGGAGATAAGAGCCTCACTAACTTTCCTGCCTGGGCTGGCGTTGAGCCGTAGTCCTCAGATCTCAGTCTCCTGAGTAGCTATTTAGCTCTTTCTCAGAAGATTGTGGACAAAAGTACTTTTCCTGTTATCTCTAAAAATGACCAGGTGTGTTGGTGCCCCCCAGAGGACACTGTGGGAATCCTGGAGAGGAACAGCTGGAGCTCACTTTCAGATCTGCATCAGCTGGAGCGGGGTCTGAAAATAGACTCCTACATATTTTTAATTATCAGTTTGAAACATATGCCCTTATTTTTAGTCTCTGTCCTTATTGATCAACCAAAGTCTAATCTATACTTGCTATTCATAGAACTATATTTTGGCTTGTTGCTTTATCCCAATCTTCGTTCTCTGCTTTAGAAAATAAACTGGGATGACTTAGCTGCTAAAAAAGTGCCTGCACCATTTAAGCCAGTCATCCGAGATGAATTAGATGTGAGCAACTTTGCTGAAGAGTTTACAGAAATGGACCCTACCTATTCTCCGGCTGCCCTGCCCCAGAGCTCTGAGAGGCTGTTTCAGGTAATCCACAGGGAGCGTGCCTGCGTTCTCTGGCCAGGCGTGCTTCAGAGAGAACTTCCATTTTCTTGAGTTCAGTCACTTTTTTTAGTACCTTGATTGTATTTTTTAAGAAGTTAGTTGTATTTATAAGCAAACTTTTATCAACTATGTGAGATTTTGGGATTTGAATAGGAAGTTGTTCCCTCCCCTCTTCTCCTTCCCTCCCGTTCCCTCCTCTACCATCCCCTCATCCCCTCTCTCCTTCCTCTTTTCTCCTTCCTTCCTTCCCTCTCCATCCCTCCCTCCTTCTCTCTCTCATCTTCTTTCTCTCTTTCTCTCTCTCCCTTTCTTTCTTTCTCTTTCTCTTTCTTCTTTCTCTTTCTCTCTCTCACTTTCTTTCTTTCCTTCCTTCCTTCTTTCTTTCTTTCCTTCCTTCCTTCTTTCTTTCTCTCTTTCTTTCCTTTCTTTCTTTCTTTCTTTCTTTCCTTTCTTTCTTTCTTTCTTTCTTTCTTTCTTTCTTTCTTTCTTTCTTTCTTTCTTTCTTTCTTTCTTTCTTTCTTTCTTTCTTTCGTCTTGGTTATTTAACAAACAGAAGTTTATTTCTTGACCACACTGTAGGTTTGGTATGTGTGGTCACCTGCAGGAGGAAGCTTTTTCTACCTTGATTATTGAACTGGTTTCATTTTACCAGAAGGTGGCATTATATCTCCTTCTAAAAGCATTTTTTCTAGACAATTGAGATAACCCTCATTTGGAATTGCAAGTGAAGTAAGATTGCATTCATCTCAACAAATATTCGAATGTCTTTCTGATCACGAACTAGTCCATGCCAAACTGCAAAGCAAATTTTCTTTTGCCATTCCTTCCCTTTTTTTAGGGTTACTCCTTTGTTGCTCCTTCTATCCTCTTCAAGCGTAATGCAGCTGTCATAGACCCCCTCCAGTTTCACATGGGAGTGGAACGTCCTGGAGTGACAACCGTTGCCAGGAGTGCCATGACAAAGGTTCGTGCATGTGGTTCCCAGTGGTGCACATGTGGCCCCCATAAGCACTTAAATGTGAGCAATAATCAGTGTGCTAAGGCCAGTGGATTGGAAGTACTCAACTAATGTGTCATTTTAGAAAATGGATAAGTAAATGGAAATTCGCCTTAGAGAAGTAGTATCAATTTGAACAATTCCTCTTAATAATGATAGAGGATTATCTGATACTTTCATACTCCACAGTTTTACACAGTCTTTGTGTATCACCTTTTCTTAAGTGTTGTTACTTTCTCATCAGGACTCTCCATTCTATCAGCACTATGACCTAGATCTAAAGGACAAACCACTTGGTGAAGGAAGCTTTTCCATCTGTCGAAAGTGCATACACAAAAAAAGTAACCAGGCATTTGCAGTCAAGATAATCAGTAAAAGGTATGGGCACTTATAACAGTCTTTATCCTACTCAATGAATTCTGTAAATTAAGACATTTTTGTTGGAAAGGGTAACTAACGGTATGTAAGATTTTCTACCCTTGGGCTTAACCACTTGGCTTATTATTTCATCTGTGATACTCCTAGGTCCAATCAGTATTTTCTGATGAAGTCATCTATTTCAGACAATCATAATCTGATGTGCTTTTGAGGTCCTTATGGGAAGACTTTCTTGTGGTGATAACATATTTAATCAGACTTGTTAGGGATTTCGGCAGCTATTGATTGCTATTTCTGCTAGTTGAATATTTGAAATACTTTTCTCTGAAATTATTTAGTAAGCTCTTGGTAGCTTTGAGAGCCAGCGAGTTGTTTTGATAACTGCTTATTACCTGCATGATTACATGTTCCATTACCAAATTATGAGGCAAGTTGAGCATCCATTTCTGTGTATAACTAGCTCATAGCTGACTCAGAGTAATTTTCTCCAGAAAAAAAAAACTGCTTACCTTTCTTGTGGGTGGTAAGATTCATTACTTTTAGGGAAACCTCATTGTACAAGTAGATTTCACTATAAATAAAAACAAAGTTAGGTTTGGGGCAATCACAACATAAAAGCTTGCTGGAAGAGACAAGTAGATTCTAGTTATTTCATCTTACAGGATGGAAGCCAATACCCAGAAAGAAATAACGGCTCTGAAACTGTGTGAAGGCCACCCCAATATTGTGAAGCTGCATGAGATTTTTCATGATCAGGTATTCCATATGTGTGTTTGTTGTTTAATGAGTTCATATGTGGGATAATTCACATATGGAGTTCTATTCCGCATCAGTTTTGTTGGTGCTACTGAGTTAGTCAAGGATGTGGAACATTATCCAGCCACCAGGAAGGATAGAGAAACACATACACACACATACACACACACACACACACACACACACACACACACACACCACACGCATTCTTACTCAAATCAATCAATCACTTCTGCCTTCTTCACTCAGCCCTTACAACCTGTAGCATGAAAGAACAGAGATATGAACTCAGTGTCGCTGTCACAGGCTGCAATGTACTGGTGCCAGTACAGCTGCTTCCAACTGTGGCTTAATCACTCATATCTCTCAGTACATGGTAATGTTCCTTGCACTTCTAAAGTAGAACATAGAGTTTTAAGGACAGACAAGAAGCAAAAGGGCAAGGTTCATCCCCTTCATCTCCTGTTCCAAGTGGCAAAATCTATGTGGGCTCCAGGCTAAGTCCTGCTCCACCTCCATTCCCCATTCTGCTTTCCAGCAGGAAGCTAACAGAAGCATGTCACTTGGGGTATGAGAGGAGTGCCATTGTATCTTGCCCCACCTGTCATCTTCCATGTCTGAAATTGCACCATTACAGCATGAGCAGGAATGGAATCATTCCTGCTCAGAGCCAAGTGGAAGCACAGAAACTAAAATCAGTCCTAAGTATGGTTTGCCTAAGGGTCATGAGATTTCTACCAAGATCAAATAGCAAGTTGGTGAAAAATCTCATAGGCAGAACCTGATCCCTAGATGTGGGCATTCCTCATTGTGCAGCTGTGACAGCCATGGGCAGGATAATGGGGACTCAGCTCTACCACAGTGACATCTCCCAAAGTACCATGGCTAAGAATGGTAAATCCATCAGGGTGAAGTCATGCAGCAACAGGAGTAGCACTGTAACTATTTAATAACTGTTTCCATTTATAATCACATGCTTTGTGTGCTCCAGGGACTGGGCCAGACACTGTACAGATCATCTTAGACCTTACCATAACTCTGAGGGGAGAAAACAAAAAATCACAGAAGTTCAGTAACAGTGTGAGTAGTTATGGCTGGGATTTGAGTGCAACCATTAAACTTCAGAGCCCAACAATCTTTTAATTACTTTGTTCTTCTGTCTTAGAGGAGGCAGAAACACAACCTGCTCTTTACATCATGCAGTAAGCACCCAAAACCGTCATTGTCCTTTACTTGTTCTTTGGTTCTCATAGTCTTTGAAGCAAGGGTTCAGGGGGAATGCTCTCTTGGTTGCCCCCTACCTCTCATCTGATCAATTTATTCATTTTTTATAGAGAGAGGGAAACTGTCCTCTAGAGGTGCTAGAGAATAGTCTAGACATACTTTGTTCCTAAAGGAAATTCATGCATCAATCAGAGAATCAGAGAATGACCTTTGAAATCTGGCCTTATGCTTTTGTACTTGTTCTCCTAACCCTAGCTATTCCTAGCCCGTGTTTGAACTCTGACTAATGTCAGATCTCAGAACTATAGTACTGTTTTTTAAATTTATGTCATAAGTTAATTATTTGCTATTTTTACATTTGAGAGATACCAAAATAGCCAGATGCATGTGATTCATGCCTGTAACACTGGCTACTCAGGAGGTTGAGATCTAAGAATTGTGGTTCAAAGTCAGCTCAGGCAGAAAAACTCCATGAGACTGTGTGTGTGTGTGTGTGTGTGTGTGTGTGTGTGGTGGTGTGTGCTGTGTGTGAGTGTCTCTCCATGTGTGTCCCTCGGGAGCTTGACCTCTGGGCCTGGGTGCTGTCCCTCAGCTCTTTAGCTCAAGGCAAGCACTCTACCACTTTAGCCACAGTGCCACTTCCAGTTTTCTGGTGGTTTATTGGAGATAAAAGTCTCATGGACTTTCCTGTCCCTGCTGGCTTTGAACCTCAATCCTCAGATCTCAGCCTCCTGAGTAGCTAGGATTATAGGCATGAGTCATCTTCAGTTAACTAAAAAACACAGAAGCCAAGATGTGGCTCAAGTGGTAGAGCACTATCCTTGAGCATAAAAGCTCAAGGACAGTGCCCAGATTCCTGAAGTCAAGCCCCAAGACTAGCACAGACTGAAAAAGAATTACCAAAATGTAACTTGTCCTACAATATAATACTAGTATATTATGTTCATACTGCTATAAATACAGTTCTCATTCTAATCAGGGTGGTAAAATATACTTTCAGTTATTCCTGTGATGGTTATACAGCGTTTGTTTCACAATGTGTAACATTGATCCAGGTTGGCTCCTCAGCCTTAAGCTGTGCAATAGTACAGCTCTTTTTATGTAGAATGACCTGTGTTTTGCTCAGAGTTCCTACTGCTGTGCATATATACATGCATTCCTGTTATAACAAAGCACCTCAAACTTAAGATAATGCATATTTATTTTCTTAATAAATGGAGATCCAAAGGCCAAAATCAGTCTCACTGGCTTATAGTCAAAGAGGGGACAGACAAGGTTCCTTCTGGAGACTATTAGGGGTAGTTTGTTTATTTTCCTTTGGGACTTTCTATTCAATAATCTCTTCTTTTGTCCCATCTGATATCGTGGATGCTGATGGATAATCAAGATAATCTTCCCATCTCAAGATCTTTAACTTGCTGAGAATGATGGCACTAACCCATAATTCCAGTGCTCTGGAGACTGAGGCAGGAAATATCTTGAGTTTCAAGGTTTGAAGCCAGCCTGAACTTACCCTGTCTTAGGGGGAAAAAACTACTGAAAGTCCCTTTTTCCACCTAAGGTTAAAAAAATAGGCTCTGAAGTTTAGGTCATTGACGACTTTGGAGGACTTTTATTTGAGGAACTGTGTATAGATTTTTCTCATTGTTGGCTACAATTTTAGAGGTAAAGTAGCATCCCCAAGATCACAGGAAACACAGCCTGGGGTGATGACACACCCCTGGAATCCCAGCACTTGGAAGCCTGAAGCAGGAAGATCACGTGTTTGAAGCTAGTCTAGTCTCCATAATGGGATTCTATCTCACAAAGGAAACAGAGAAAGTCGGGGAGAGAGAGAACAAGAACAGAAACAAAACAATACATTTTTGGGGCATGGGGCGGGGAGTACTAGGGATTGAACTCAGTGCCTTGTGCTTAGGAAATCTCACCTCCAAGTCCCCTTTTACCCTGGTCATTTTCAAGGTAGGTTCTTGGGCTAGATTGGGCTGCCTTCCTCCTGCTGTGCTTCTTGGTGTCACTGGATGACAGAGATGCACCACTGCCCCAGCCACTGAGACAACAAGCATGCACACTATACCCAGCCATTGGTTGAGATGGAGTCTCACAAAACTTTTTTTTTTTCCTTTGGTCAGTCATGGAGCCTGGACACTGTCCCTCAACTCTTCAGCTCAAGTCTAGTGCTCTACCACTTGAGCCACAGCGCCACTTCTGGCTTTTTCTGTTTATGTGGTACTGAGGAATCAAATCCAGGGCCTCATGCATGCAAGGCAAGCACTCTACCACTGAGCCACCTTCCCAGCCCCTCACAAACCTTTTTATACCTAAGCTGACCTCAGACTACAATCACTCAATCTACCTCACACATAACTATGATTACAGGCTTGGGATCAGTTTTCATATTAAACTTGTTGTTTGTACTAGATGCCAGTGGTTCATGCCTGTAAATCCTAGCTACCCAAAAGGCTGTGATCTGAAATTTGTGGTTCAAAGCTATCCCACACAGGAAAGTTCATGAAAGTCTTTATCTCCTATTAACTACTAAAAAAGTTGGAAGTGGAACTGTGGCTTAAGTGGTAGAGTGCTAGCCTTGAGCAAAAAAAGCATAGGGATAGCACCTTAGCCCTAAGTTCAAGCCTCAAGATAAGTACACAGACAAAAAAAAGTTGTTTTCCCTTTACAATCCCTCTGATATGTCAGCATAGTGTACTTATAATTGTTTTTTAGGCAACAGTTTTCTGAGTTTTGCTAATTCCAGAAACATTTGTTGAGTGATGTTGGCACTAATACAGTACCTGAATGTGAACACTAACATTTTTTCTAAACTATTCGTGTTTATTTAAGAGCTAATGTAAGTGTTTTTCAGTAGCTCTTATGTTGTTTTCTTTATGGAGATATATACAAGCATAGTAAACATATCAGTTACCAAGTATTTAATTGGGATCAAAAACAATTATTAAAGAACATACATGGTGAGTTAGAGATATTTGCAAAGGAGTGCTAACAGGAATCCTGCAATTAACAGTACTACTTTTCAACAGGTAAATTTGCCACTAAGCGGGTTTACCAGACCTGATGTGGATAATTGCCCAAACCTAATTAGTAACGTGAATTATTTACAATAGAAACTTCAGATCATTGTCAGCATGAGATCATACTTTAAAAAGGAAGGTGGGAATGAAATTCAAGTGAAAAGAAAAGAAGTCAAGGGAACCATAAATAAAGATTTCACTGCAGTGCTTGAAATGTTCCATTTCTGAAGAATCAATTTTCCTAACAATTTCCAAAATAGAATTTGTAGAAGGCCACATTATTTTTCCTTCAACTCTTTCCGCTAAAATACAATAATTGATATTTGTTTTAACAAGAGATTATTTAAATATACTGGTGATTGATAAGAATCAGTGAGTACTTTATATAGTAATAGATGTCTCCTTTTCAAGCAATCCTTTGCAAGGATTGCTACTGGCTATAAAAAAAAAAACCTAATTAAAATCAACTGGGGGAAAAAAAAAGCAAAAAAATCCTGAACAAAAAGGGAAGCCCCCCCCCTTTCAATAAAACCCCATATTATTCTTTTTCTAGCTTCATACATTTCTAGTGATGGAACTTCTAAATGGAGGAGAACTGTTTGAGCGCATCAAGAAAAAGAAACATTTCAGCGAGACTGAAGCCAGCTATATCATGCGGAAGCTCGTTTCCGCTGTAAGCCATATGCACGACGTTGGAGTGGTACACAGAGATCTGAAACCCGAGGTATAGTACAGTATATCCCCCAATAATTGTGAGGTATAAAGCAATCTCCTCTAATAATTATTGGGTATAAAGTAATCTGTATCTCCAAATAGTTGTGAGGTTTTAGGGAGGATTGTTTGAACCACTCTCCTCAAGGCTAAGCGGATACTGGAATATATGTTTCTTAGAATTTCTTCTTCTTTTTTCTGTGTCAGTCTAAAATAAACCTTGTCCTTTTTTGCCAGCTGATCATCTTAAGGTTATATTTGTAAGCGTGAGAGTCTTTTAAGGAAAAAATACTTTACACAGCAGTTGTGTGCTAAAAATAGTAATGGAAAATTTTGTAGCAGGAAATAATATCCCCTTCTATATGTGTTCCATTTGGGAGAGGCTTTTTGTTTAGGGATATATTTTTCACATTTGTAATCAAATTGATTAGCTTCTGAATAGAAGAGTGTATAATTATAGTCTGCATACTTACGCATGAAGCCATTGTCTTGGTTATTCAATTAGGCCATCTCTCTACCTGCTTTTTCCATGCTCATATATTGTCATGTGTATGGAACCTATGACAACACAAAGCAGCAGCCTTTTATATATCTCTTCTTTCAAAAAGTTAATAAGAAAAAATAGTTAATAAGGAAGGTTCTAACACAGTGATTCCTTGTTAGCATAAGAATAAGAAAATTCCTAGCACTTTAGAAACCAACAAAATAATAATGAAAAATGAAACAAAAAAACAGTTTATAAGACAATGACAGTGAATCATTTTCATATGCTAAATAATGCATATTCCCTCTCCAAAATAGAACTTTTATTTTTAGTTCCCATGCGAATATAATGCATTTTCAAGCACAAAAAAGTATTTCTCTGGAAGCACTATTTTTGCCTTTAAATATCTGAATTTTTAGAGAAAAAGGGTGTTTGGAAAAATGGGAATCTGCATTCACATAAATGCTCATCTGACAGTATGTGTGGAGGACTGGTCCTAAGACCCCTCCCCTCCTATCTCCCTGGTACCAGACCCCGAGATGCTCAAGTTCCTTATAAAAATGGTAAATTATTTGCACAAAAAAACTACACATATCCTCCAACGTACTTTCAATCCTCCATAGATTACTTATAAAGCCTAATGCAATGTAAATGCTATGTAAATAGTTGCTATGCTGTATTTTTTAAGGAATAATGACAAGGAAAAATAAATTTATAAACATTCAGCATAGCTGCAGGATTTTTGTTGTTTTGCCTTGTTTTTAAGGTTTTTTTGTTTTGTTTTGTTTTGTTTTTGCTGGTCCTGGGGTTTGAACTCAGGGGGCCTGGGCACTGTCCCTGAGCCTTTGTCCTCAAGGCTAGTACTCTACCGTTTGGGCCAAAGCGCCACTCCTGGTGTTTTCTGAGTAGTTTGTTGGAGATAAGCATCTTGGACTTTACTGCCTGGATTGGCTTCAAACCATGATCCTCAGATCTCAGTCTCTTGAGTAATTAGGGGAGTATAGGCGTGAGCCACCATTGCCCAGCTTTTGTTTTTAAGTGTTTAATCCATGGTTCATTATAGCCATGGTGCTGGAACTCATGGATATAGAGGGCTGGCTCTAATTGATTTATTTCGTTAAAGTGTTTGAATTTCTGCCTTGTACATTCTGTTACTGTTAGTTTGCATTACTAATCAATCAGAAGTGGATTGTGTTTCTTGAACTTGGAAATACGATCGCTCCCTGCTTCCTTCATCATAATTCTCACTCTCCTACGAAACGCCCCCTGAAAATATGGTGCTCTGTGCATTGGAGATTAGTTTTCTATTTTTAAATGTAAAAGCACACCACTTAAATGTTTTCTTGATAGACAAGAAACAGCCATGTAGTTTTTTTAATGGAAAAGATCTGTTGCATGGCTGTGTAGCATTCATTTTCACATGTTACATTCTTTGATAACTGGCCATCCATCTGTCATGAGTCTCAAATGAGGCGGCTGTCCTCTGCAGTAGAATTTAAATTTGCCTTTCTACTTTCCTGATACAAAGATCCTTAGGTAGCTTAAGTCTTCTCATTGGTTCTAAGATTTTTCTTTTATTTGAGTTAAAGCAGAATTGTTAGATTATTTGAAAGCACTCCACTAAAACTTAACCTTAAATTTTGGAGAGATGACAATGTACCTTAGAACATTTTTACAATCATATAGTTTTTCCTTTGACTTTTAAATGGCAGAGTATATTATTTCCAAACCAAAAATTGACTCTCTTTTCCGTGTAGCATTTTAAGATCTGATTATATATTTTGTGGCATTCATTTTCTGCATTGGCAAAATCCTAAATTTTAGGTGAGAATCAGATAAGTTTAGAAGCTGGCTGACATTCTTAGTAGACTACTTTGTATTTTTCGAACTAATCCAATCTCCTTCAAAGATAAAGAAAAGTTACATATATGGAATGAGTTTCAGGAAGACCTTAAAATGAGGACAGAGGGGAATGCCTGGCTCCTTCCTGCCTACTGGTTCTTTGCCTGAACACACACCTCCAAGGAGTTATCTCTCCATTTTATGCCTGAGAACTGGAGGTAAGGAAGTGAGCAGGGACAGGAGGAATGTGGATTCGTCACAAATTAATGTGAATGTTATCATCCCTTCAAGAAGTAAGATCAAGAGCCTGTTTCTTCAGCCTTAATGTGGAATAAACTTAAGCCATTTCCAAAGACTTATCAGACCCATGAGAACAGGGGCAAGACACATTTCTTACCCCACTGGGTACCATAGCATGTTCCCTGAACTAGAGGAGCTCAGGCATGCTGCTGAAAGACATCTCCCAAGCATTGAGAAGTGACCCCTGTGGAACTGAAAACTTAAGACTTTCCAGTTTTGGGGAATTTTTTGCTTTTCTTTCCTCCCATTTGATTCATTTTTACCTTTTACATGAAAAGCCTTAAAAGTTTTTCTTCCTTGTATCGATAAAGTTTCCTATGATGTCTTTATTTCAGCCTACATGGTATTGACAAAGCAGATGATGTTTGAGATCTGGGAATAAGGTAACCACTATGAGTACGTAACAGATTTTGGTAAAAATAGTATAATCAGATTCATTTGAGGTACTATTTTGGTATACCTGTACTGACTAAAATGTATATATTGGTATAATTAGTATTTATTAAGCATGTGAAATGTACAAAAGTAACAGAGGAAAGCTAAGTGATCTAGAGTCCTTGTTAGATGGGTGATTCAAGAAAACAAATGTTTTTTGAATATGTGAGACACATCTCTCAACATCAAAAAAATTTTTTTAAAGGCTTGAGATCTGAGGATCACAGTTCGAAGCCATCTGGACAGAAAGGTCCCCATGACACTCTTATCTCTGATTAAATACTCAAAAACTGGTAGTGCTGCTGTGGCTCAAAGTGGTAGAACACTAGCCTTGAGCAAAAGAGCTCAGGGACAGCACCCAGGCCGGGAGTTCAAGCCCCATGACCAATAACAACAAAAAAAAGTGAAAAAGATTTTTTTTTACTGTTTTGTGAAAATATTTCTGAAATATAATACATAGCTCAACTTGTGTTTTCTTTAATAGCCTA